TTGAGTGTTTAAGGGGTGTGACCCTTATTCCTCTGAACTCCTCCCAAATCCTGTTCTATTATTCCGTAATCTCCAACCGGTAGCATCTTGTAAAACATCGCTACCTCTTTGTCTAAATAATAGGAAGCTTTAGCCCATTGAAAGGCTTTCATAATGTTATCCTATTTCCCTAAGGAAGGTGAATTTATTGGTATGATTCCCTGCGGAATATGTTGACTGGCTGAATGAGGAACTGGAATACATGCTGTGATACTGGTAAGATTATGCATTCTACCAAACCCTCACATTAAAGTTAGAATCAAATTTTCATCTAAGTCTGCATTGGCCTCTTCATCAATTATGGTATTTGTCCTGCTACACCCCCCCCCAGAATACATAATACTGTGAGAAACGTCCTTATCTCCTCATTAGTTTCATTTGTAGACCTTCTGCAGATCCCACTCTTCATTGAGCCTCCTCCGGCAGCAGAGCCGGTTTCACTCAAGTGAAGTGCAGCCACAGTTCAGCGCCTTCAACTTGGACTGCCATGCATGTGGTCAGGAGGACTTGAAATGGTCCTTTCCTCTTTTCTTTAAGTTTGTTACTCCAGGTCCTGATGTACACCGAGTCTCCTGGGTGACAGGGATGAGCCAAAACATCTAGATTCATCAGAAAGGCTCAAATAACAAATCTATGCAAAGATGACAGCTATGCAATGATGATGGTAGTTTCCTTAAGGATGATTAGCTATTCCGTTAAGCTATAGTTTCCCATTATGTGACCATCCCCTGGAAAAACATTTATTTGATAGCACCTTCCATATAGGATTTCATAAGGGCTTTTTGTTTGATCAAATCCTGGTTCTTAATAGGGCTAAAGGAAGAGCCATCAGCCATTTATGTGTCTGTGCCCCAGAGCTCTCTTATCTTATTCACCAACACCTCAGATGTCTGTCATCCCCTGAGGACAACTGTACATTGTCAGGACACCTTCTTGAGTTATGCATTGTGTCTGAGAGCCTTCTGTCTTTCACTCCTCTCCTGATGTCAGCATGCCTCCTGAGGCTGTCCTCGTGCCCTACAGCCCTTTTTTTGGCTCTGAGGTTGGAGTATTAAGGCCTGAACTACAGGCCTTGAGCAAAAGTTGCCCTATAGATGAGCCTCACACACAAATATTTATAATATTAGTATCCAGCTATTAGCAAAATATGTAGCTTGGATAGAATATCCCATTAGCGAGATCGGTAGCTTAGATAAAATGATATGGGAATATACAGACCTTTCCTAGTTTAGAAATGTGCTATGAAGGCTGAGTATGCAAACTCCCTCACATTCTCCTCAAGCCCTCGCCAGGCTTGGGGAAGAATCACAAAGAAGGATGATGAGGCAAGCCAATCCACCAGATGTCTTCTGTGCATTTTTTTGGTCATATGGATTTATGGAATTGTTTGTTAACCTGTATAAAAGCAGGACCCTCTCACAGCAAAGACTAAGACCTTGCCTACGAGCGGATGCACTGTGTAGGACTTCCCAGTTGCTGGGAAAGGCTCTCTGATCCTGCTCTGTGATGGGGCTCCCCAGCTGAAGCATGGATCTGGATGATGGTAAAGTACAAGGGAATTGATGATTCTTTCTTAATCACTATGACTTGTCCAGTATAGTAATGACCAGCTGCATTGCCTTATTTCTTATCTATTGCTTATTCTTTTTGTATTACCTTGAGACAGCCAGTAAAATATCACTAACTTGGTGTCTCTGCCCTTTGCATTAACCCTGTCAATTGGCAAACTGGTGGTGCACTTTGCACCCTTTTTGCTCCCAGAGAACCTTTCCCGATGCTCTTTCCTCTCAAGAACATTCACGTTGTTCTCGATGGTAGTGTGGATGCATCTGTTCTGTCCCTGGTCCTCAGAGAACAGCCGTAGTCTGTTCAGATCCCTTCTGGAATTCATCATCTTGTCCCGGAGCATGCTTTTGGCTGTCCTACTCAGAACCTGTCACAAGGCCTTAGATGTTTCTTGTGGCACACTTTTTGCCTGTAAGCTCCTTTTGGACTCCTTTGTAGCAATCATCTGTCTCCTAAAATCTCTGGTCCCTAGGAAGAGCATTCTTTTTCTTCTCTATGTCATCTAGCATGCCTCCCTGAGATCTTCCTTGTGCTCCTCAGAGTTTTAGTAGGACCTAACCTCCCTTTTGATCTCTCTAATCCTTCTGAGTCTTTTGTGACCCTTCTGCTCCCTGTCACTGTACCTCCCACAGCCTTCTGTAAGTACCACGGCCCTGTTTTAGCTCTGTAGCAGACTTTGATCTTCTCTGGTTCCCTTAGAAACCCGTCCTCAGGTTTGTTTTTGCCTCAGAGCGCTCTTACCGTCCTCTCTGCTATCTAGGGTGTCTCTAAGATCCGCAGCATCCCAAGCACACCTATACACGATTCAAATCCCCTCCAGACTTTGTCCTTCTGTCCCGGAGCCTTCTGTGGTGACTTAGGCCCAATCAGGATATCTGTAATGGTGCCACAATGCCTCTGAGGTTGTCCCAAGCAGACTTTGATACTTTCTGTGGATGCCGGAGACCTCTGTCACTCGGAGCGCGACACCGGCCGCAAAAACGGACACCCCCGCAGCGGAGCGGAGCCCCCCGGCCCGAAACACCCGAGACCGCCCCGCAAGGGCGAGGCGGGCCGGCCCCCGGGCTCTCCCCTTCCCTCCCCGCCCGCTCCCGCGCTGGAGCCCAACGCGCCAACAGCCGAGGCGGCGGCCGGGCAGCGAGGAGCGGCAGCGGCTCATCTCGGCCTCGGCACGGGGCGTCGCGCGGCTCTGGGAGCCCCCGGGCCGAGGGAGGCGGCCACGATGCGGTTACCGGCGAGGCCGAGCTTCGGCGGCTGGCAAGCGCCGCGGGCTTACGCGTCGCTTCTGCCGAGGCCGCCCGCGCTACCCGGCTGCTGCCGGAGCCGCGCTGCCGGGAGAGCGAAGCGGCGCCGTGTCCGGCGAGGGTCTCTGCTCCCAAACGCCTCGGCCCGTGCAGCTGCGCGCGGGAGAGGAGGCTGACCCGGCGCGGCCAGCCGTGCGGCCGCGGCAAGGCCTCCGAGAGGCCTCCGGCATCCGCAGAAAGGAGCGCAGCCTGCCTGGGACGACCTCGGAAATAGCTGTGCTTGCGGCACGGCTCGCTTACTGAAACGCAACAAGCATTTGGAGTCACCTCGATGGTCTCCGGGATTAACTCCTTTAAGAGTCCCAAAGGACGGAAAACGCCAACACACTGCCACATTGCGGAAAACGTGTCAAACTTGGTGAGGCACCCTGATGAACACCTACGTAGCGAGAACGACAATAGCTTGCCAAACGCACAAACAGACTCTGAGGATACACGTCGAAAATAGATGAAGTTACTGTCTTCCCTGAAAAACTCACCAGGAGATTCGAGCCGAGTGTGGACCACTTCGGGGCAGTGGACACCAAGCAGGAACGCACAGCAAGATGGAAACCAGAAAGACTGCTCTGGAGTGCCAGGGTGGCTCTGGAAAAAGCTCTGACGCAACAAGAGGCGTCACCGAAGGCGCTAGAGAAGTTCTGAAGGGATCAGAGAGACCAGAGAATTCTTGGCAATGCACTGAGCTCAAAGGAGAATTGAGCAAAGTACGGCTGCCCTCAGGGGGCCAGGGGCAAAACGGAGGTGCACAGAACTGATGGCCATCGCAGAAATACCAACTAACAACAGGGGTAGCAGATGCTGAGGCAACAACAGCCCCGGGGATGAAAAAGGTGACAGAAAGTGTCCGTCCGAGAGCTCAGCGAAGGGAGTGGAAGAGTCCTGAACGGGCCAGAGAGACCAAAGAAGCCTCATGGAAAACAGTGAAGAACCCTGAAGGAGATGTCAATGAAGACGGGATATTGCCCAGGAGCCAGGGGCTGAATGAAGGCATTTGAAACAGAAAACAGTGAAACAGCACTCTGGGCAGCGCAAACAAATAAAATCCAAAGGGACCTGAAGGGCTAAAGAGTACTGTAGAGTACAGGAGAGGACCGAGGCGACACTGTTAAAGAAAGAGGACTTAGGAAGGTGGCAGGGTAGGGAAAAAAGTCTCAGCAGCACATTAAGGGGGCCTCAGAGTCTCAGGGCAGCATCTAGGTGAACTACAGCCAACTGAGCGAGAGAAAGACAGAAAGGCTGTGACAGAAAAAGAGACAAAGAAAAGGAGATCGAGCGCTATTAAGGGCAACGGAGATCCATGATGCTCCTGGAAGGCAGCGTGCCTGTGAGGAGATGGGTGTTGGGGGGACCAATGTACAAAAAAGGCTTCGGAACCACAAGGAGGAACTTGGGTGATCATCTGAGCACGGTGCAGATGATTTCAGAGGGCTGTGACTGAAGACGAGAATGGTAGGTGGAGGAACAAATGAGTGTTCGGAGGCTCAAAGATGGCCCAGCCTAACGTGCTGTGAGATAGAAGCAGAGCAAGAGGAAGGTGTCAGGAGGCGGCGTGATGAGAATGAGAGGTCTGCTGGGAGCAGGGGGAACATGGGCATACGGACAAAAAACGATTTGAAAAAAAAAAATGCAAGGGGAATAAAGGTAGACAGAACACGTTGAAAGCAATGCCACATAAGGAAATAATGAAATAATTAAGAAAAATCGATGGCAAACTGGAGATGTAAAGTCAAATTTTAAAAGCGCGCACGCGCGGAAGGCGCGCTGGTCCCCCCGCGCCACGCCCCCGCGCGACGTCACCGCCCACGGTGGCGCGAGGTGCTCCGGCGGTGACGTCACGTGGCGCTACCGGGCGGCAGCGCCGCCCCTCCCCGCCCACCGCCGCGCCGGGACCCGCAGGCAGGTACGGGGGGGACGGGGCGCGGGGAGGGGGGGGACGGGACGGGGCCACGGCGCGGGCTCCGTGGGGTCACCCACGGCGCGCACCCGCGGGACGCCCCGTTTGCACCGCGCCTGCAACCGGGTCCCCCCCCCCCCCCCCCGCCGCGGCGGCGTGGCGGGGGGACTTGCTGTCTCGCCTGCGCTCCCAACACACGCTGAGTGCCCTCCCTGCCCACGCACAGTCCCGTCTGTGCCGGCGGCGGGACCCCCCCCGGGGGGCGCTGCTGGAGTGGCCCCACGGCACCCAAAAACGGGCCGGGGTTCCTGGACAGCCGAGGCACGCGCCGCCACAGTCTGTGCTGCCCTAAGGGGACGCCTTGCTCCCCAAAACCTCCATCCTGCTGCCTCGCTGTCACGCACGCCCTCTCCCGCGGCGAGGGGACACAGCACCAGGTGTCCCCTGGTGCTTTATACCCCCACGACCTACATCTCCCAGACCCAACTGAAGTGACCCCCACAGATGTCCAGCACCCCACCACCCACACCCCGGTGGGCGCCCACTCTCCCGTGCCTGGTCACAGCGACCCTCTCTCTGCCCCGCAGGAGCCGCCATGGATCTGGTCCTGGACGCCGCGGACCGGCACCTCCTCACGCCCTACGTGTACCCCGCCGGCTGGCCGGAGGGCGAGCCCTGCCGCCAGCTCCTCAGCCTCTTCGTCATCACCAACCTGGGGGCACTCGCGCTCTACCTGCTTTTCGGCACCCTCAGCTACTGCTTCATCTTTGACCACGAACTCAAGAAACATCCCCAGTTCCTAGAGGTGGGTGTGCCGTTCCAAACGACGGGCGCCGACGCCGTGGCGTGGCCTGTCCCCACTGCCCGTTCCCCATCTGCTCTTGCTTGTACCTTGAGGGGTGTTTTTCTCCTGCATACCTCCCCCCACCCTGCACGCCACTCGCGAGACACACGCACCCCGCGCCCCCCACAGTTCACCACCAAACTGAGCCTTTAGAAACCTCCCAAAGACACGAGGCCACTGAGACAAGCTCACAGCCCATCACTGACAGTGGGGACCTGTTGCTGTCTCAGCACCCCACTTTTGCAAATTGGCAGGTGGCCAACCAGGGGCAGCAACCGCCCCTCTCGGCCCACCGGTGCCCACCACTAACTGGAAACAAATCCCGCTTGCACAGCACACTAGACCCAGCACCCAGCCCTACCCCTAGCACGGCTCTCCCTGAACGGGCAGCTCACGTGGCATGGATGTCACAGCAAAGCTCCCGGGACGCCGTCTCCCCTTGACTCCTCTCTGACCACAGACCCTCTCTTGACCTCTTCTGGCCACAGAACCAGGTGCAGCGGGAGATCGCCTACGCCCTGCGCTCCCTCCCCTGGATCAGCGTACCCACCGTCGCCCTGTTCTTCGCCGAGGTGCGGGGCTACAGCAAGCTCTACGACAACATCGAGGACTCCCCATACGGTGAGCCGCTCCCCCTCACCAGACCAGCACCCTCTCCCCGCTGCCCGGGTCGGCCCCCTCGGGGCAGGCAGCGCACCCCCACTTCTCCTGATGACAGCACACCTCCTGTAGGCCCACGCTTACAAAAATCCACGTGGGTACCTCCTGCCTCAAGCTGGTCCCATCTATTAGTCACAACCCCAAGTTCCCTTTAGGCCGATATGAAGCGCCCACCTGCCCCAGCTTGAGGACACCTACTCGATGTGTGTCCTCCCTCCGCAAAAAAAGGCCTTCCCTTTCCCAGCGACAGCTCCTGACAAACAGGCACCCAGCTCGCTTTCCCTGAGTCACAGGAGACCATGGAACCCTCACACCATGTCTCCTCGATGGGGCAAACTTTGATGTGAGGGCTGTCATGCCTCCCCGTGGCTCCTGGTACCCACGAGCACTGCCCCTAACATCCCTGTTCCCCCAGGCTGGTCGGGTGTCTTCCTCAGCATGCTGTCCTTCCTCTTCTTCACTGACATGGGCATCTATTGGATCCACCGCGCTCTCCACCACAAACTGCTCTATAAGGTACGAGATGGGAGGGGGGGCCCTGGGCAAGAGCCCTCACCCCACACCAGGGCTGCAGCTGAGCTGCCCCTCCTGAGGAACATGTGTCCCAGGGGGAACGGCGGGGTCAGCCTGGCCAAATGAGGCCTCACCTCACCCCTTGGTCTGCAACACGACGGGAGCTGAGAGCCCGTCGGGACACACGTCCCTCCCCTTCAGCCCTCAGTCCCCCTGGGCTCCCAGGCAGTGAGTGAGTCTGTCCCCACCTGGGGCGCCCCCTAAAAGGGGCTAGCCGGTGCAGGGGGCCCCATGCCCACCCCCACCTCGGGAACCGACAGCGTGTCTTCTCCCCACAGCGCTTCCACAAGCCCCACCACCTCTGGAAGATCGCGACGCCCTTCGCCAGCCATGCCTTCCACCCCGTTGACGGCTTCATGCAGAGCCTGCCCTACCACATCTACCCCTTCCTCTTCCCCCTGCACAAAGTCACCTACTTGGGCCTCTACATCTTCGTCAACGTTTGGACCATCTCCATTCACGATGGCGACTACCGCGTCCCCCGCCTCCTGCGGCACGTCATCAACGGCTCAGCCCACCACACCGACCACCACTTGTACTTCGACTACAACTACGGGCAGTACTTCACCCTCTGGGACAAGATTGGTGGCTCCTACAAGAGCCCCACAGCCTTTGAGGGCAAAGGCCCCCATGACTACTTGCGCAAGCTCCGAGAGAAAGGCTCGGGGGTGCCCAATGGCCCCTCAGCCACCAAGACCGAGTAGACTGTCCCCCAGCCCGGCCCCTCTCCGGGATTAGATTCCCCAGCCGGATCTTATCCCATTCCTCCCTGGCCTCTCAAGACTACTTTCCCACAGACAAAGATGCCCCGACGCGTGACTGGCGTGGGATGGTTCACGGTGAGTGCTCTGGCCTGCCCCTGCTCCCAAAACGAGTTACAGCCTCGCCCTGTGCCACAGACCTGCCCTGCTGCCCCTATCGTCCCCGCTCTCGGCTGCCTTTGGACCCCTGCTGCGGTCCCTGCGCTGCCGCTTTACAAAATGAACAATAACGTGGCACAAATAGAACAATGATGTGGCTTGTGGCAGGGTCTCCATCTGTCTGTGCTGTGCACCTTTGTCACTGACTTGCCATAGTGGAGTCTGTCCGGACGAGTCGAGTCAAATTGAGTTGAGAGGCTGACAACACTACATTTTTTTTTTCTGAGCCGTGTTTCACAAAAAAAAGCTGCAAATGCTTACCTTTCGAGATGCAGTGGGACTCCTTGGCACTTGATGCTCTCTCTTCATTCTTCTCGCCCGGGGACATCCTGTGGGGTGCTGACAGAATGCATCCCAAAACCAGCATGCCTGTAAGACAAAGACGCACTTTGAGACTCATGGGTCCATCAAACTCCTTGAGAATACTGAGGGGGGGAAGAGGAGGAACAGGCACCCAGAGGTGAGGGGCCGGGGCTTCTCCTTGCAAAAGGGTCGTGGCTGGCTTTCCCCCTTAACACCTGGTGTGCTTCCTGCTGAAACCCTGTCACCCCGCCTTTGGGTCCATTCAATAAATCTCACTTGCCAACTTGGCTGCCGTTTGGTCCCTTCACCCTTGCTCCTGAGGCTATGTGAAGCCTGCCAGGGTGCTTTATATCTCCCCTGTGACACCTGCAACGGGCTTACCCTGCACTATTCTGGCAGCAAATGTGCACATTGTCCCCTCCCCTCTTGCTGAAATGTCAAAGGGAATAGGGAAAATACCACCCAATGCCAGTCCCTGGAACTTCTCCTCCCCTGGGTTGGCCACGAGGACTTGATGCCTTCGTGCACGGGGTACGGATGCCAAGAGCCTCAGAGGACCTGCTGACACCCCAGTTGCTTCCCAGCCCACGTGGCTCAGAGGGGACAAGGTCTCGGCACCAGCCAAGCGAGAAGCGTGGGGGGGATGTGGGGGATCCCCAGCCTGTGCCATGCTCAGCACCACCATTCACGGTCAGAATGCCCAGAGCTGCCTCTCTTCCCCCTGGCTTCCTTACACGTAACCACAGCTCTCGGCTTCCCAGCCTGAGGTGGGGTGCTGATGGTGGTACATTCCTGACAAACCTGACCCTTGCCACTGCCTACCCTGCTCCTGCCGGTCACCTTCAAGGGACAGATGGGGGTTTCTGACTAGGGCAGATTCCACCTTGCACCAGCCTGCCTGCTGTGCAAACGGCCAAACCCAACCACCTGATGACATGATGGTCCTCACCGGCAGAAGAGGGACGTGACCCTGGTGGTGCCCAGCACTGGTGTTGCCCCCGTAACTCACAACGCCACTCCGGTTCATCTGTAGTAGCAGCCTTGGTCCTCACCCCCTCTTCTCTCCGTATCCCCTATAAATACACCCAGACCCACAAAGCTGCGATGCTGGGCTGGAACTTCAACCAGGGGCCATTCACGTGTGGCGTGCAGGCAATGTTGGAGTATATACTGTATTTCCCAGGTATGGTACAGCCAGGCTCCCACGCCTGGTGAGCCCCCTCGGAGTTTATAGTGGCACAAGACCCCTTAGAGCGCAGCATTTTGCTGCTCAGGACACTGACAGAGCTGGCCGTGGGGGTACTACATGTCCCATCTGATTCCTGTCCTTTTCTCCACTCCCTGGATTATGCAGATAGGTAGCTTCCCCCAAAGGTCCCCCTGTACAACACTTCCCTTCTCAGGGAAACCGGTGCTTGAGCACACGGCTGTGCCTGTACCAGCAATGGGGGCTGCTCTTGCAGCCCCTCACTGTGGTGATGGACCCTCTGCTCCCCTCCATCCTTCGGGCAGGGTACAGCTTGAGGCTGTACCGCACAGCACGCAACGAGCGTGAGGGATGCCTGTCCCACAAGGGGACACGGGCGGGTCCCCCGTGCTGACCACCCCGGGGGTCCCATTTTCCTGGGGGCATGGTCCCCCACCCAGGCTGTGCTCTGCTTTCGCCTCCCCGCAACGACCTGGTCTTCCCCACACCCACAGGAGTCATGACCTCTGTTGCTGATTAACACGGAGCCCAGAGAACTGCCAAGGGTCAAGGCAAGGCCCAGAACAAACACGGCAACAGCATCGCTGGCCTGTGTGAGCCACCATGCTGACTAGGGCCCCTTGGGAAGAGCTCCAGACCTTCTCATCGCCACATACCTCTGCCTTCACCGAGCATAGTGTGCAGTAACGGACTCACTGACACCTAAGCCCCACAACACCCAGCCAGGGTACCCCGAGAGCAGGTTGCACTCCCCTCTGCGGTGCATGGGCAGCACTAGACGGGCCATACCCAAACACAAAATGCACGCAGGGCCGGGGCCCCTGTGCTTGGCACCGTGCACGGGACACCTCGCCCGACCCGGGCTCCTGCACACTCTTGCCTGTGCAAGAGAGATCGGGACCTCCCCGTCACACACGTGCCACGTTGAGGCCGCCAGCACAAACGCGTCCTCCCCTGCAGCCATGGGATATTGTACCACTGAGAGACACAATTCTGTATTCGGGACCCTGATGCTGCTGCTACCACAAGGTGGAGGTGTTGCTTGCAGCACACTGGCAGCAGGAGTGGCACCTGTGTGGACAGCCTTCCTCCTCCTCCTCCTCGTTGCCCCAGAAGCACGGGGCCCAGAGGCGGGAGCAGCTTTGCCATGCCAACTCCGCTGGAGGACACGCACAGGGCGGCCTGGAGCTGTCAGAGACTGCACGAGGCACGGCAGCACACTGAGGACAGTCCCCACGAGAAGTACAGAAAGCTACAGAGCCTGTCAGGACTGCCCCGCTGTGCTCTCCCGCTCCCCATCACGCAGGCGGAGACGCAGCCTTCGTCCCTCCATCCTCTCCCTCCCAGAGGCACCTGGCCTTGCGACTGGGCGACGTGGACCCCAGCACCCTCTGAGGAGGGTTCGAGCACGCATCCACCGCTTTGGACTCTGTTGGCTCCTCGCACCCCAGATTCACACGCCCCTCGCGCGTGGCTCCGCTCATTCCCCTCTAAACCCTGGTGCCCCGGCAGGTGACGGGACCCTGGTGTCCTGCTTATGGACACGACCTGGTTAAGCCCCACCAGTGTTTGATGGGTCGGCAGTGTGGCTGGGGCACTGGGCATGTTGACCTCCGTCTCAGGAGACCTGCCGAGACCGGCAACCCTCTGGGGCCAGCTCCTGATTTGGGTGCTTGAGGTGGCATGCTGCTGGCCTTTAATAACTTATCCCAGGTGGTTTCTTGAGACTGCAGTTTTATAGCCTCTTTATGCCAAGTGTGCGGTAATACCTTTAGCTTTTTGTCAAGCGAGAAAGAGAGGGAGGGCACAGGAAAATAAATTGCATTCAAGCAAGAGTGCTCACTACGTACGTGGTTCCTTGTGCAAAAGTTGCTGGGACCGTTAGACCTGTCAGACAGCAGCACCAAAGGGCCCTTATGCCGCAATAATTACCTGGCCCGAGGAGAAAACCTATCAACATGATTCATAATAACCACCCAGTTGCAGGGCGGACCCACAAATGCGCCTGGGGTCCCCAGTGAGTAACTGCTTTAGCAAATGCCCCTTTTCACACAGCCACTTCTATGTGTAAAGCCACAGGTTCTGAGTTGCTGCAGTTTACAAGGATTAAGATGTACATTTCGAGAAGTCCTTAAACCCGAGAGAAAAGCCCACAGCACTTTGCATGCTGCTAGTCCCAAATGCACACTGCAAAAAGCAGGGCTGCCTGGGCTCACATTGGAGCCCGTATCTCACCCCAGCGGGGGTCTCCTGGTACGGCCCCCCAGCTGCTTGTCAGACATACTCTTCCCATATTCATGGCAAGCACTGCGCTGGCGAGGGGATGCTCCTGCATCTGACCAGCGAGGACCCAAACTGCCACCAATTCACACCTACCATCAGCACCACACTTCTACACGGAGAATACAGCAGCAAAGCCAGCTCTGTCCTCCTCCCAGCCATGCCACGTGGCGGGACCATGCAGCACAAAAATGCACCCTCCCCAGCCACGACGGCCAGCCACTGCTGCCGTGGCAGATGCTAAGCAAGGAGCCTCCATTGTGGGAGATGCTAATGCAGCAGCTCGTGTGCCAGTGTGACAATTGCACACAGTAATTAGCCCGCACGGTAATTTCTACGTGAGGAGATTACGGCGGACGCAGATAATGGCTCCTGCTTTGCCTGTCGGCAATCCCATGACAAGGTGGGCCTGTCAACGCGTGCCAGATGACAGAAGCGCAATTTATAGTGAGTGTCTTCGCTTTCCACTCTGGAAATGGCAGCCTGTGCAGCTGCTCCTTTCCCTTAGCCTGCACAGCACCTATTCACAGAAGCGTCTCCCGGTTTCAGCTCCGGCTCTCAGCACACCTTCTCAGCCACATGCGGCCGGCGATGGGGATCTGCTGGCCCATGCTTGCCCGCTCCTGCACTCTGCCAGGAGCAGGAGGTGGGATTCGGGAACAGCTCTCAGTGATGTGCGGGTGCAAAGTGCTCCCCGGCCTTTCCTGCTCCAGTTCCGCACCCTCCCTGCACACTTCACCCAACATCGGAGCCTTTTCCGCTGCCACTGATGATGGCCGTGGGGATTTCCTCAGCCCCGGCTTGCTAGTCTCATCTGCAATGGCTTCCCTGTCCCACCACACCTGGAACGTTTGCTTGCCTCCTACCATCTAGTACACGCTGCTCTTCCATACCTCAGGCAGAGTGCGTTTATGTCCCACTAAACACCAGCTTTCTCACAGAGACCCCAGGCACAAAAAGTGACACACTATGTGCAAGCATAAGGATCTGGTGAAAGCCCTTACCTGCTGCTTGCAGAAAACATGTGCAACCACTGTCCACCTCCAGTGAAGGCTGTGAGGCCGAACGAGCAGGGTGACGTGTTCCTCGGACCTGCCGTTGGCCTCCGACGGCACAGAAATACCATCCACCTCCCTCGCTGGGAGCTGGGCTGTGCTGCCGACCCGCCTGCCTGGTTTTGGCATGGTTTCGGCAGTTTCCTTTGCCAATCTGCCTGCACCACTAAATGCCTGCTCCAGCATCTTCCCCGCAGCAGGGGCTGCGACCAGCCCCACATCCTTGCTCTGCACCCCTCGCCTAACCCCTAAAACCAGATGCATGCACCCGAGAGCCCTTCCTCAGGTGGCAGAAAGGCACGGCTGTCCTTGGCGGGTGGCCGCAGGCCTCGGCCGGTCCCGTTTGCAAGGGGATGTTGACAACTGGTTGATGCTGCCCGTGGTGTGACCGTGGTCCAGCAACACTTGGTGAGGCTCTTCAGAGCCCCTGCGGACTGCCGGTCGTGCCCTCTGCCTCAGCTGAGGTATCTGGAGAGGTACATCCCTACACCACATGGCTCTTCTTCGTTAAAGAAAATATTCACACAACCACACCCTGACACAGCCGTGTGTATATAAACCTATACAAGGTATATATATGTGTTTGTGTGTATATATACACATTTTTACATATAAACGTTGCTTTTTGTATAGTTATAAGAAATATTTACATATAATAGATTTATATATATTTATATGCACATCTAAATGCATATAAGACTATACATGTACATATAAAGATACACACACATCTAAAAATATATAT